CCTCAGTGTCCCCCCCCCCCCCCCCCAGCCCTACAGCCCTACTGAGTCAGGTCTAAGAAGCTCAGGCCAGGACTGCAGCCTCAGGAGGACCCAGGTGACCTTCAGACCTCCCTCCAAGAATTCCCTTTTCTCCTGCCTGTATCGAGGTTGGGCCAGGGTCATTTGCTGTGTTTTTCCCCCAGTGAGGTTGGGTGAGGGGACACAAAACAACACAGAGAAATGTCCCCCAGCTCCCACAGCATGTAGCAACCTGAGGTCTCCCGATTATAAGGGCCAGTCACAGCATACTGCTCAGTACCACACCACAACGCACCTTTTGCCCTGTTCCTATTGCAATGAAGTTTTTTCAATGTGTCCAGGAGCCAACTGCCCCAGATGTTTGTGGGGCTTGATCAAAACGGATTCCTGGGCCACACAGCCTGCACCAGTAATTCACAGCTCTGGCACAAAGGGCTCCAGAACCCACGTCTTGGCCACGTTTCCCAGATGATGATTCTGTACTTGGTAGCCAAGATGTGACGAAGCATGTAAACTGCAGGCCCTGTACCCACCAAGCCTGCAGAACCCAGGAGTGTGGGGATGGCAAGCAAAGTGACTTAAACACAAGTCGCCATCATGGAGGGGGGGAGGGAAGGGGACACAAGGGTATGACAAAATCACCCTGGAGCATTCTTCAGTTGCTGAGTCCACAGCCGAGAAATAAGTTTGTAAACACTTTTATTTGCATGTTGACCTGCGCCCTCTTTTTAAGTTCCAGGAGGCAGTGAGTTTAAGTGTGCAGGAGAAAGGGTGAAGAAAAAGGAGAGGGGGAAGGAATTTCTCCCTCACCTCTCTCCCTTTTTCAAGCTGAGCACCTAGAATTGCATATGAAAAAGTTAAAATCATGGGTGATGCGAACCCCTTGTATGGGTTTCTTTATTTACATTCCTTGGGTTACTATAAAGAGTCTATATTTTAAAAAATCAATGCATGGGGAATTCCCTGGTGTGGCCAATGGTTAGGATTTGGCACTTTCACTGCCGGGCCCAGGTTCAATCCCTGTTCCAGGAATTAAGATCCCACAAGCCACGAGAAAAAAAAATTAAATCAATGCATGAGAGACACAATTTTAACAAGAAAACAAAGAGGGGTGTTAGATGGAGATGTGTGGGGCACTGCCAGGCCCTTGCTGTACCTCCATTTTCAAGTATGGAGATAGCACCTCTGTCCAAGTGTCGGAGTTAGGGACACACCCTGAGTGGCCCATACTGTGGCAGGTGGCGAGGTCCTCCGTGGCCCCCCTGCCCTCTCCTCACAGCTGGTTTTCCTGCTCTCCATGTTCTGCCTCTGCTCTGGCCTCAGCCCTCAGGACCCTGAGGCTCCTAGCCCCGCCTGCCCTGGGGACTCTCTTGGGCAGGGTGGGCAACCGGGGAGTGTGCCAGAAGGTTCTCCGGCGCTTTCGAAACCATGAAAAGCGTCCAGGGGTCTGGAACCTCACTGTCTTGACCTGTTTCCGGGTCCTAGATCCTGGGCTGACCCCTAGGGCCCTCCCAGCAGCTGAGGATTCAACTCCCTGGACAGCTGGGGTCTCTGCCCTCTGATTATTTGCAGCTTCTGCCCTCTGGTCAGATATGGCCTCTGCCACATCAGATACAGCCTCTGCTCCCTGGACATCTGGTGCCTTTGCCCGCTGATTATCTGCAGCCTCTACCCTCTGGACAGCTGGGGCTTCTACCCTCTGATTATCCAGAGCCTCTGCCCCCTGGACAGCCATGGCCTCTGCCCTCTGATTACCCACAGCCTCTGCCCTCTGGACAGCTATGGCCCCTGCTCTTTGATCATCCACAGCCTCCACCCTCTGATTATCTACGGCCTCCACTCTCTGCTCATCTATAGCCTCTGCCCCCTGAGCTCTGGCTGCTGCTTCCTCTCTCCTGCGACGCCAGAATGAGGCCCAGTTGATCTTAGGCCTCCACCATCTTGGGGGGCTCTCAGGCACCTGCCCGTCTCCTGCATTTCCCACATTATCCCCAAGGCTTGCGCTGCGTGGCACTGATGCGCCATCCCCCTCCAACCTGGTAGAGGACTGCCAGGCTTCGCCCACCCCTGGGCTGGACCTCGGTGCCCAGCCCTTCACCCTCCGCTTCAGCTTCCCCCAGGACACCTGGGTGACATACTCCCGCCACCTGTCCGCTTTGGACAGCTGGGGCACCGGGTTGTCCTCAAACATGGGCACTGGCAGGTTCACCCGGCGGCGGGCTGGCGGCACGCTGGGCTTCTCCCCTCGCCGGAGAAAGGCCTCCACCAGCTCCTCATCATCCTCGCTCTCCAGGTCGCTCCCAAGGAATTTGCTGCCCAGGTAACTGACAGGCATCTTGCGCACCTTCCTGCCACGCCCCGTGCCTCTGTGGCCCTTGTCACCCTTGTCTCTGGAGGTCTCGAAGTCGCTGAACTCGCTGTCACTGGCGTTGCTGCTGTCATAAGTGCCCACGACCAGCCGGGGAGGTGGGGTCACCATCTGCTCGACTCTCCTCATCCGGGGCCCCTTGGGTTTCCTGGAGGGCTGGGGCGGGTGCGGAGTGCTCTTCTCGAGGATGCGGGCCACATCCTCCAGGGTGCGGCCTTCTCCCTCCAGAAACTGGATCAGCCGCTCCCGAAATTCTGCCTCCTTGGTGGCGGGCTTGGAGATGACCCTCCAGATGCCTCCCGCCAGTCTGACTTCGCGGGGGATGAGCAAATAGTCCACGTCCTCCCCGATCTGCAGCATCCCCACTGTAGAGTCCTCCTCCCGGCGAAACACCTTGCCGATCTTCTTAAAGGTCCCCACAGGCTTCAAGGCTTCCACGAGGACGTCCAAATCCACATCTTTGCAGACGTCGGGGACGCTCCAGAGGATCAGGCAGTCGGGGGATGGGAGGAAGCCCCAGGGGAACCAGCCCCCCACATGGCTTTTCTCGAGGGTCTTTAAAATCTCCAGGGTGAAATCTGGGGTGGGGGCAATAAGCCCAAACTACTCGTAGCCCCGAGTCTTGGGGGTGAGGGTGGGGTCTCGGTGGCGCCGCCGGGAGAGTCTCACCTCCCAATTTCTCCGCCTGCAACGAGTCTGGTCTTGATCAAGTCCCGCTCCCCTCAAGGACTGGTGGGAATCGATTTCCAGGATGCTTACGTGAGCCGGGATGAGGTCAGTCCTGAGGCTCCAAGCCCACCGCAAGCTGCAAACGGGTGTCCCGGCTGCAGCTGCGATACAGGGGCTGCCCGGTGGCTCTTCCTGTTCCAGGGACGTGCCTGGAACTTGGGAGAGAACTTCGCAGACAAAGAAGGCTCAGCCGTGGCTATTCAATATGGCCGAGGCGCTTGGAGGCCGCAGCCCAGCTCCCCAGGAGGGTCTCCCGCCCCTAGGCAGGTTGCCACCCCGGTCCAGGCTGACCTGGACGCACCTCCCACCTCCCAGCCCGAGCGCTCAATGCCTAGGAGCGCGCGCGCGCGCGCAGGAAGCTCCTCCTCGCCTTCCCCCAGGATGAGGCCCACCTACCCCCTTCTCATCTTACACTCCGGGACTCGGGAAGACTGACAAGGGGGCTGTCCACTCCCTTCGGGACGCCCTCGTTCCCCTCCCCCACAGGGGGTGTGGCCGCGCCCCGGGCCTCTCAGGGGCCCTATCTTCCAAGCTGAACGCCCGCGCCAAAGCCCAAGCCCACGTCAGCACCTTACCCCAGGAAAGGCAGCAGTTCCCAAACCTGCCATCCTAAACGTGCGGGTTCCAGCCGAGCCCTGAAGGTGGGCGTGCTAATGGGACAGTCCCTTTGAAAGCCATTGGCACTGTATATTACCGTTTTAAAATCGCGTGACTTGTGGTACCAGCAGTTCCTACCTATATACCGAGATGTGTGGGTGGAGACCTTGGTACCACAGGGTCTTTCTGCACCAACCGCAGTGTGGGGCTTGGCACACAGTAGGTGCCCAAGAGATATTTTTGAGCGAATGAATGTGTTACCGACCAGGGTTCTTGACCTCCTTAATCAATAGAAATTGATCAGAGGCCAGACAAGAAATTCAGGCAAGGCTGTATTGGGGCCCCTGCTGCAGCAGCGCGGAGCGAGAACAAACAACAGGTTCTCTTGCTGGCTCGCTCCCTGGGGCCGGGGGCTGTGTGTGGGGGGAGATCCTTATATGGGGTGAGGGTAGGGGTGTGTCCAGGGGTCCGGCTGGAGCGGTGGCTTAGGTGGTTTGCCCACCCCTTAGGTGATGTTGTGTGCAGTGGGCATGCGCAGTACCATGCTTTTGCTCCAGACACCCTGCTTTTGTTCTGGGCTCTTCAAAAGTGGCAGTTGGATTTTTTTTGGTATCTTTTGTCCAGCATTTGCCCTAACTGCGCATGCATGCAGTTACTTTTAGTCCCATATAGTTTCCTTGTATTCTGTTGCTGGAGGAGACGTGTGTCCAGGTGCAAGCATGGCAGCACTGCAGCAAAGGGTCCCAGGTCCCAGCCTGTCTCAAATGAACCTAATTGTTCATTAGTAGTAATTGACTAAACTGTACAGCTCTGTTCTTAAAGTGATATACTAGGCAGCTATGAAAAAAAAGAAGTGACTGAGAATAGTCACCTTTTATGGAGCACTTCCTATGTACTAGGTATCTTTCTAAGTGCTCTCTACGAATTAACTCATGAAATTAACTCACCAAACCATTATGAGACAGGTAATATGATGATCATTCCCATTTTATAGCTGAGGAAATAAAATCACTTGCTCAAGGTCACATGGCCAGGAAGTATTGGAACCTGGATTTGAATCTGAAACAGTCTGACGTGTGTCTGTGAGCGTGTGCGCATGTGAAGGCCAAAGGGTCTAGGTGCATATGTTTACTCATCACATATATAAGTACCGCCCAAAATGGCTGTGTCTGGGGAGGGGGACTAGGGACCCCCAGAGGTGGCAGAGACATGTACTTTTCACTCTATATCCTTTGGGATTCCTTAAATTTTTAGCAATCGAAAATGTTCATTAAGGGAATTCCCTGGAGGTCCAGTGGTTGGGACTCCGCGCTTTCACTGCCAAGGGCACGGGTTCAATCCCTGGTCGGGGAATTAGGATCCCACAAACCCTGCGGCGGGGCCAAAAAAGAAAAGAAATGTTCATTAAAGTAAGTTAAATTAAATTGAAGGTCCTCAGACTTGGCCACAGACATAGTGCGTCAGGATCCCTGGGACGTGTTGACCAGGATTTGCAAAGCTTCCCAGGTAGCTCTGAGGCCCACGAAGCCCTATTAAATCTCCCCACTTCCCTCTCTCTTCCTCTCCTCCTCACTCCACTCCAGCCACACCTGCCTCCTTACTGTTCATCCAACACACAGGCTTACTGCCACCTCAGGGCCTTTGCACTTGCTGTTCCCAACACCCAAAATGTTCTGCTCCCACTTCCTCTTGGCAATCTCCTACAGCTCAAAGGTCATCATTTTAGAAAGGTCATACTGCCCGCCACCCCCAAACCACTAGTTGGCCTCTACCCTCTTCTGGGCCCTCCAGTCCAGGAATCCTTAACCCTTTCTGTGCCATAGACCCTTTTCAGGACAGTTTTTCAATGCATAGAATTGCATCCATGCGATTACAAAGGAGACCAATTATAACGAACTAGAACTGTTAAAAGAAAAATCGCAACAACAAAACCTGTAAACTAATGACTTTAATATAAAGTATAAAAATGAGCACGTGTAACTTTAACTCACCACGTGTGATTTTATTTCACTCTTGAAGGAAGCAGGCAGATGTTTAGGGAAAGGCTGGGAAAGGGCCTGACCCAGACGAGGTCCTTGGCTGCCCATTGATGGAGGAAGGAAGGGAGAGAAGGAAAGAAGGAAGGAAGAAAGATGCTTGGGGGGGCGGGGGATGGTTAAGGTCTCGCTGAGACCTTTTCACAGTTATTGGCTCATTCGGGTTGTTTTTGCTTTTGTAGAGCCGGGTCGTTAGGCTTCGCTGGATTTTCCCCTCCTCCTCTCACAAGCTCCATCCCAGCCGCCAGGGTCACCCCTTCACCGGGCCTCCCGCCACTGCGCCCCTCCCTGTTGCACAATTTCTCTCCCCGCCTCCCAGCGTTCTCCATGGCAACGAGGAAGATGCACTCCTTCCCGATGGTCCGCTCTGAGAGGGTGGGCGGAGGCGGAGGGCGGAGCAGGGCAGCGCCTCTTCTCAGCCTCTTATTACTTCCCTCGGCCTGATCCCACAAATCAGCTTCCCTGAGAAGCTGCTTTGTAGAGGTCCGAAACTAAAAATTTCTGCGACACCTCTGGTTGAGGAATGTTGGCTTAAGAATCCAACTCTGATAAGTCAAGGCTTCCACGTGGGAATGGCCTCGCGGATGAGGCATTGGGTTTTGTAACTGGTAAAAATTGTGTTTGGGGGTGGGTGGGGGGGAGGATTAACCTAGAAATAAAACCCTCAAATGTTCAACATTGTTACAAAAATTGCCAACCCCTGAGCAGTTCCGCTGTGCGTGATTTAGATTACCCAGCTCTCTGGCAGGCGAGATTCTCCAGCCGCCGCAGAAAAAAACCGATAATTATAGCTCCTACTTCTATACTTGTTTAAAAGAAATGAAAAATCCAAAAAGAATGGAGGAAGAAAACAAAACATGGCTCAACTCTCTCTACCCAGCTACACTTGGTTGCCACTTAAAAAAAAATTTAAAAAAGTGACACACACACACACACACACACACACACACTTAATTCAATGCTGAAGTTACAGAAAGGCTAAAATGAAAAACAAGTCTCCCTCCCCAAGTCCCAAGCCTCCAGTCTCTCCCCCCAAAGTAACCACAGTTAAAATGCCTCTGTACTTTTTTTTCTAAAAAAAAAATGCTGGCATGGGTAATTTTAGAATTTAACCCATGAGGATTTTTAACATCATCCTGAATTATTTTCATCACATCATTTACCACTTCCTCGTATTTTCTTATTTATTCATTGTCTCACCCTATTAGACTCCTAGACCCATGAGAGCAGGGATATTTGTCTGGTTTGTTCGCTGCTGAATTTGCAGAATCTAGAACAGTGCTGATCGGAGCTCAAAATATCTGTTGAATGAATGAATGAGGGGATTGGCCTAGATCTAGTGCTATAAAACTTGCTTTTTTCACTTAATAGCATGTCTTGAAGTCTTTCCATATCAGTACAAGCAGATCAATCTCAGTTTTCTTTTTTCTCAACAGCTTTCATCTTTGCATAAGCCCTCAAGCCTGGAACGTAATAATATTGATAATAATTCATTTTTCTTGAGCACCTATTTTACCCCCAACCCTGTGCATTTTCTCTTTTAATCCCACAACCCCTCCTAAACAAGTATTATTCCCATTTTTCAGATGAGAAAAACTGAGGCCAAAGGCAGCCACACAGCTAAGAAGTGGCAGAACTTTGAATCACTCAGGATTCTTAGATTCCAGCCTCCTACTTCTTTTTTTTTAAGTCTTTATTGAAATTGTTACAATATTACTTCTGTTTTATGTTTTGGTTCCTTGGTTGCAGGCATGTGGGATCTCAGCTCCCCCACCAGGGATCAAATCCACACCCCCTGCATTGGAAGGGGAAGGCTTAACCACTGGACCACCAAAGAAGTCCCACCCCATACTCTTTTTAAATAATGTGGGGTCTTAGTTCCCTGACCAGGGGTTGAACCTGTGCCCCCTGCAGTGGAAGTGCAGAATCTTAACCACTGGACTGCCAGGGAAGTCCCTCCAGCCCCATACTCTTTTTTTTGCGGTATGCGGGCCTCTC